ACCAATAGCATGGCTTAAAATAACAGAAATTTATTCTCTTACGTTTCTGGCATGTAGGAGTTTGAGATTAAGATGTCAGCAGGGTTGGGGCCTCCACAGAAGGGTTGAGCCCTGGGAGGAATCTGTCCCAGGCCTTTCTCTTACCTCCTGGTGTCCCTGGGACTTCCTGGGCTTGTGGCTGCATCGCTCTGATCTCTGCTTCTATCGACACATGCTGCTCTCACTGAGTGTCTCTGTCCCCATACCCTCTTGGTATGGGTCTGTGTCTCCTTTTCTTTTAAGGACACCAGTCAAACTGGCTTGGGGCCCTTCCTTACTGCCATGAATCCTCATCTTTCCTTGATTATACCTGCTAGGACCTCCTTTGTGAATAAGGTCATGTCCTCAGGTTCAGATCTTGGGCTTATCCTTTGGGGAGGCATGATTCAACCCTCTATAGCAGCACTGCTGTCCACTTTTCCTATAGACAGACCCTTACATGCATCTCTAATCGTTGCCTGGTGCTGACTGACTCCTCATGCCCCTGGGACCTTGTAAGGAAGGTGAGTCACCAAACATTCCAAGTCTTTAAAACCACAATGTGAGTCCTGCCTGACTCAACTGGGTTGCTCAGATTTGGGTCCCTGAGGGGATACCCAAGTCTTATCACAGGAAGCAAAGGAACAAAGAAGGAGGAAGAGGAGCCGTAGAATTCACAACAGGGTCAATCTCTGCAAACAGAACTTCGCACACAGTTTCTTGGGGATGCCACCACGGAAAAATAAAACCAAGAATGTTATAATGTTTTTAAAATCAGTTAAGACATCAGGAGGTAATGGATAGCCTTACCATTGTATTTTAGGTAGAAACTTTAAAAAGTTTTGACCGAACCCTCCCTGCCAGTGACAATGTAATAGCCTGGAAAATTCCTAGCTCAAGACTGAGGCGTGTCTATAGTTTTGCCCAAACCTAAGCGCATCAATAGGAATGGAATCTTACTTGTATCACCCTTAACCCAAGATGTGGAATTGTTTACTCTGACCTTACCAAAGAAACTGTAATAACCTCCTGGGTTATTACTATGCATGATCAAAATGGATTTGTCATAAAAGAGCCCTGGCAGATAATGTAAGAAAAACTTTCAGTTTGTTATATGACTATAAATTGCACAAATTGCCAATGGCAATTCCAGTGTAAATACTGGAAAAGCTTTTGGTTGCCTGGAAAGATTATTTCTTTATAAAATATTAGAGGAAAGACTGTTTGCCCCCCACCTCCAAATTTCCTAATGTTTCCTGATGTTTAGCAGAACCTTACTCTCAGTAAAAGAAATGACCAGAGATACCTGGAATTTGCAACAAAGGGAAAAACACAGCCTTTCACAATCAGACAACAAATTCTTTTGCAGTTGTATAAATTATTGCAAATGACCAAGCTGAAAACTTTGAATTTTCAAATTGAACTTGACTACTTATTGGTGTTAAAGTTTATCTTACTGAAAGAAGGTCCAACTGTTATAAATATTAATCTACTTTAAAATGAATTACAAAAATAATTCTAGGAATCCACAGTACTCAAGCTTTACTTAATTTAAATTGGTATAATTTTAGAGACAATTGGGAATAAGTTAAGTTGACTCACCTTCTCCATGTCTGAGCTAGACTTGGGCAAGGCATTTTGCCTTCCTGGGTCTCAGTTTCTGAATCTGTAAGCTGAAGTTTATTAAAATCATCTCTGACTCCCCATCTACATTTAAAATTCTGATTCTGTCTCTTCTTCAATCTCTGATTGTATCACAGGTAAAATTGCAAAATTATATTGCATAAATACCCCAGAAGCCTGTTATTTCGGTCAACCTCATTAGATTGAGATCATAAAGATACTTACCTTGTTGAAATTTTCATTTTTATAGCAACACAAATTGGCAAATATGGTAGAACCTCCTCCGTAGTTGACCAACTCCGTACACTGACCATCTCCTTAAGTGACCTAATTTTCATAGGCTGGACATGCACCACAGTACATAGCAGTATCGTAGGCCTTATGTTGACCATCTCCATATGTTGACCAGTTTGTTACAGGCCTGGGTAGTCAACTTCCAGAAGTTTCACTATATGTATATTCAATCAAATATAGGGGTAAAAAAGTAACTTTCTACCTACTTTTAATAAGGGAAGGTGTGTACCGCCAAAGTCTTTGAACAAGCAAAAGGTCTGCTCGGAAGATTTTATCAATCTTTGACAGTTACAAGGAACCTGGGGACCACTGCTTTTAAAAGCAATCATGATGTGACCACTTTCAGACTATTTCAAGATTGATTAAGGAGACAGCAGTCCACCCAGACAGCCAGAGGAGCCATCTGTACAACATGCCTTTTCTGAAGAATGGTGGCAACAGCCTTGTGGGACGACCTCTGTCTCCACCAGTCCTTGTAGATTTACTAAGTGTTTGTATTAGATGGAGAAATTAAATACCAGAAAAGATCATAGACTTGGCATTCTTGGAACAGGCATACTTCCAGCTAGGCATGAATCTCTGAGCCCTAACAACTTCCAGAGGTAATTCCTCTGATGCGTGTCATTGAATAATCAGAATGGGGCCTGCTGGGCCATGTGTGAGTGAGTGCTGGGACATGGTGGGGACTGCTGCACAGGGGACCTCAGAGCTCTCCCCTGCACTTCCCTGTCATCCTTCCTCTCCTGTGACACCAGCCTCTTCCCCTTATCTCTCTGGATGATCCTTCTCGGGCTGTTTCATGGGCTGTGTTTTCCTTCTGCACCAGATGGGGAGGACAGGTGGTGTGAGTTTGCACAAGGTTGATTCCTGTTTCTGCTGCCTGCTATCTGGATGACACAGGCACGGTGCTTCTCTCTTCTGGGCCTTTGGTCTGCATCCATAAAGTAGAGCTCCTGGAGGCACCCACCTCAACAAGTTCTATAGAACACCAGCCCCCAGCCCCAGTTTCATGGAAGACAATCCCTCGCAGGTGCCGTTTACAGTAGGCTCTGGGCTCCTGTGAGAATCTAATGCTGTAGCTGATGTGGCAGGAGGTGGAACACAGGCGGTGATGTGAGCAATGGGGAGCGGCTGTAAATACAGATGAAGCTTCACTGTCCCTCTGCTCACCTGCTATGTGGCCCAGTTCCTAACAGGCCACAGGTTGGTTGGAGACCACAGCTTTAGAGAGTGAAATATCCTATGCAAATACACTTAGAACAGTGCGTGACATGCACCATGTGCCCAGTAAGTACCAGCTGCCATGATTATTTGTGGAGGTCGTGGCTGTCTGCCTTCCTCTATGCTGTCTGCCTTTTCAACCAGCTTCAATAATGCCATTCCTGGATGATTCTGAGTCCTGATACCCCCTGACTGTCTTATCCCACCTTTGTTGCAAACCAATTTATCCTGGACTCTCTTACTGGTTTTACTTATCTAGCCTTGGACAAGTCCCCTGAGCTCTCTGTGCTGCTGTCTCCTCACATGTATAATGAAAGATTAGATTGGGTGATCTCTAATTCCAAAATTCTGTAGCTCTAATCCTGTCTCTGAAGCCCATGTCATTGTCTTGCCTTTCAAGCCATCTCTCCCTTTGGATTTAAAGGAAAAAAATCTACTTCATGGTGACAGCCTCTTTCTAGTCCTTAAACCTTGAACTCTGAGTGTCTCTTAGAATCAGCCTATGTCCCCTATTGCCAATCATGTGTCAACTTCCAGCACAGGACAGATAATCCACCTTCCTTTCCATGGCTCTCTGCTGTCAGCTACACCCTGGCTAAGTCCTTTTACCACTCCATATCTGGATGGTATTGGTGCTTTCCTAACTGACCTTCCTTCTCCTGGGTTACACATTCATTCATTCATTCATTTTTTTCTTTCTTTTCTATTCTTTTCTCCTTCCTTCTTTCCTTCCTTTCTTCTTTCCTTCCTTCCTTCCTTCCTTCTTACTTTCCCCTTAATCTAAGAGGAATATGCTAAATATGTGATTATACTGGAATTTTAAAATCTGTTTTCCCCATAATTTTGTTGGAAATATATGGGACTGTTAGTCTATGAAACTTGAAACAATGTTGAGATGTACATAAATGTTTGTGATTTATTCTCTTTAAGATTTTTTTGTCCTTGGCATGTGATTTTTGTTGTTGTTATTTTAACAAGGATGAAATGTCTCCCTCAGTTCCTTGTGAGGTTTTAGGGGGAGGTTATTTTGCCTTAAATTCTATTTCATATACTTTTTATTGCTCAAAGTGTACAAATACATACTCTAATTTGGATACTGTGTCTTATTGAAGGCACACTTGTCATTGGTCTCTTTTTTTTTTTTTTTTTGAGATAGAGTCTTAAGCTGTTGCCTTAGGTAGAGTGCAGTAGCATCATAGCTCACAGCAGCCTCCAACTTGGACTCAAGCAATCCTCTTGCCTCAGCTTTTCTATTTTTAATAGAGATGGTGTCTTGCTTTTTGCTCAGGCTGGTCTCGAACTCATAAGCTGAAGCTATCCACCCACTTTGGCCTCTCAGAGTGCTGGGATACAGGTGTGAGCCACCGTGCCTGGCCTCACTGGTCTCTCGTAACCAGTAAGGACAGTGCAGTGTGGTGAACGCCGTATCACAGGGACACAGGGCTGTGCAGGACACCCCTTCCACACACATACAGACCGACTTTCCATGCTCACCTGGCCCCCACGTGCCTTAGCTTGTGGTTTCTTTTCTTCTTTCTTCTCTAGCTTGGCTTTCTCACTTCTTCAAAACACTTTCTGTACATGTTCAGTTTCAGTTATGAAAAGCTCCCTGCCCCCCAAATTGTGACTCTCCTTCAAGGATTTGTGTTAGACGTCCAAACTCAAAGGTGGCAAAACGCCCTCCACAAGTCTGCAGAGATCTCCTCATGGTCTGGCCAATGCTTAGCTTAGCTGGCTCATCTCTCACATGGTGACTTAACTTTCCACATCCCTAGGTCCTGGATACTCAGGAAAATGTGCCCGAGTCAAGACTAACTGACACTATCTGCTCCCTCCCTCTCCTACACAGGGATGTGTCCATAGAAGGCACCAGATAATTCTTGGATGAATAAATGAATGCAGGAGGCAGACCGTGGGCTCTGGAGTTTGATGCAGGCATAACATGAAGGGTCTTGCGTGTTGAATGCACAGGGGTAGAGGCAGCCTAACGCATCTGGGCCTGATGCTCTGAGACACGGAGGGAGCAGCCACACACGAGCTGATGGGGTTGCATAACATTTGGCTGCAAGCCCACGGCCCTGAAGTTGACTTCCCTGAGCCCGCTTCCCCAGAGCTGCCAACCCGCAGGCAGCAGCAGCAGCAGCTGACACAGTCTTCTGGCTTTTGTGAGGGCAGCTTCTTGGAGAACAGAGAGTCTCCCGAGAGAAAGTGCCAAGTCAGGCAGATTGGAGGTCATTTCAAAAGATGTGCAGCCAGGCTTTTAAAAGGAAGCTTCCCTTTTCTTTCCTGCTGTGTGAAACGGCTTGAGTTTCTTGTTTGTGTACAGGATTCACATGGTCAGTCAATTCACATGATCTAAACAATGCATGAGTCTGGAATATAGGGAGTGTATTCTCCAAGGTTTGGCTTCCCTGGCCTCTCAGCCCCAGCCAGCCCGGCCAGGGTCCCGTTCACAGCTCAGGGCTCCCATCACTCTGCTCCGAGCTGGCTTTTCCTCACCCACTCTTGTGCTCTCCGCTGCTTCCAACATGCTGAGTGAGGCTTGGGGCTTGATCCTTTATTAATGACGTGGCTGTGCCCTCTCAGCCCACTCTCCTTCCCACTCTGTCAGCTCACATGCCTTCCGAAGTAAACAGGGAGACCAGTTTGCAACAAAACAACAAAACAGACTTTTGTCTGTGTGGTCTCACCTGCCAAACCTGACCCGTGTTCACCGGTGGTGTCCACTGTGCGAACTGCTCATTTGCAACCTACATTCAATTAACGTGCCCTTGGCCAGAAGCCCTGCACGTCTGGGAAATGAAACCTCTAGACTTCAGAAGGCTGAGCTGTCAGGCTGGCGCTTCACGATGACCACACTGTCCCCTGTGCACGGTGCTCTTTCCTTCTCTGCCAGGCATCTCCAAAGGCTCACTTCTGTTCCAAAGTTCCTCTCTCTGATGCTTTTTATTTGGGGAGGGGTTACCTGCACCCTCTTCTTTCCCATCTCTAGACCACTGGAGTTCTTGTGCTCCACACTCGCCAGCTCTTCACAAATAAGGAATCATCTGGAGGACAGACTTTCTGTTTTTCTTGGCAGCACTCTGATCATGTTTATGCTGAGCGTCACAGAGAGCAGGTGTTATTAATCTGGGCCACAGGAACCCTCTGATAGGGACTGGAGTGTGTGTAAGAGCGAGTAGGTGTGTGGTGAGCATTTTTCTGAAAAGATGGCCCATGTTCTTCTGCTTCCCAGAAGGGTCTCTGATCCCCTCCCGAAGTTTGCAGCCCACTGTGCTAGAGTGACCCACTTCACGCAGAACATTCACACTCTATAGCTACGATGCTCCTAGCATGGTTTCTTGTATACTTTCTTTCTTACAAAACAATTTCTGTAGGTATCAGGTAGGAAGAAAGGTGAGAGGGATGGGGCTGGAAGAACTGAACTGCCATTTGCCTTGTCAGCAGGTTTTGTGGGCAAAGCCAGTTTGTCCTCTCAGGTGTTCTGAGTGGGTAAAGCGCACCCATCTGCTCCCCTTGGCCAAGAACACAGCAAGCGTAATCATAGTGAGTACCCGTCTGAGAGCCAGGCACTGTCTGAAGGTTTTTACCTGCATTATCTTATTTAATCCTCGCAGTAACCCTATACAGCAGGTGTCATTATTTACACTTTAAGAGATAAGGAAGCTTGATTGTAAAGAGGTGAATTTGCCTAAAGTCCAATAAGTGCCCGAATTGAGATTCTAACCTAGGTTGCCTGGTTCCAAATTCGTGCTCTCAATCAAATATGAAATCCTTCATCTGGTTATAAGTAGGTATTTGCCAAAAAGCAAACTTAATGGGGTATAAGGTATGCTTTTTAGAATCGTCACCAGAGTAGGATATATTCATAAGTATTAGGAGGTAGATGACAGCTTACTTTTGGTATTTTCCATATGCCAATTAAAAAATAAAATAAAAGAAAGTAATCTAGGTGACCCCTGGCTAACAAATTCCCTTTGTTGATGTACATAAGACTCTTAGTATGCAGTGTGCTTCAAAGTACAGTAGGATTTGGTTGACCACTTAAAGGACTGTAGCAAACTGGTCAACACAAGGTGGTCAACATAAGGAACTCGGCCTACTGTACTGGTATAGTCTACTGCATATGGATACTGTGGTTCAGGATGTTGAAAGCAAAAAGTACCAAAAAAGTCAAAAATGTTAAAAAAAAAAAACTCCACATTTCTAATATAGAGAACTTCCACAGTTGACCCCCTCCCTACACTGACCACCTCCTTAAGGTACCCTAATTTTCAAAGACCAGACAAGCACCACATCAGCACAGTAGGCCTAGTTCCTGATGTTAACCACCTCTGTTTGTTGACTAGTTTGTTACAGTCCCTTGGGTAGTCAACTCACAGAGGGTCTACAGTATTTCCTGAGTCCCACAAAATAGGATCTGTGGGCAGATAGATCCCAGCTGTGGGACCTGGTGCCCGAGCTGCCAAGGTTCCCGCCAACCCCCCACATTCTCCTCTTCCCCACCTGGAGTACTGGGCTGCCCCCTCTGCTCTGCTGCCGGTGTTTCCTTTTCTGCTCTGTGCCTCAGTTGCAGGGACCTGCAGATGGGTGACTCAGAGCTTCCCCCGGGAGCGCCCCTGAGCTCCTGCACTTGCAGGTGGCAGCTCCTTGCCACCCCACCAGGCCCGCCTTAGCTTTCCTCTCAAGACCCTCACTGCTGCTCTATTCTCAGCCTCACATGGGGCCCAGGACCCACTCACTATATCACCCGAGCTAGAGAACTGGGGGTCTTCCTACCTCTCTCCTCTTTCTTTTCTCATCATCCAGAACATTATAAGTCTTAGCATCTTTACCCCCAAATAGTTTGGGAGCCCATGCCCCCTGTCCATCCCAAATCCCTTTGCCCTGGGTTCTTACTCAAAAGCCGGCAGCTGTTGGAACCCCCACTTCCACCTCCACCACGTCCATTCACACTCTCCCCTCCTTAACAGCTTTCCATGACAGCGATACATAGTTTGAATCCATGTGCCAGGCACTGTGCGTGAGCCAGGCACTCCCTCCTCTGTGCTTACAGCAGTCCTGGGAGGCAGCATGCATTCTTACTGAGCAGAAAAGTAAGGCTTTGAGATATTAAGTAGCTTGCTAAGATCATAGGTCTCATGTGGCCTGTCTTGAATGCACAGGTCTCAGCCACTACTATGTGCTCTGGCCTTACTGCAATTGTGTTGTCCCCTGGATATGCTGGGCAGTTTCCCGCTCTGTTCCTTCTGTCTGGAGTGCCCACCCACCTCCTATACCATGACTCTGTCCTGTAAAGCTCAGCTTAGCAGTCACCTCCCCCAGGGAAACTAATCATTGTCTTGGGCTGGGTCCCCTGCTGCTCCTCTGAACCCTGGTTAGACCTGTGTGTATGTTGTCCTCATTTCTGCTCCTGGGCTCTCTGCAGCAGACATGCAGGCACAGGGGCCAAGTCTGTGATAGCACTGAGCCAACCACCCATGATGGACACCTGTGACCATCCGCAATGGTCAGTGGTCAACGCCCTGCTTTCTGTATGCACCTTCTCTCTGCTTCTTTCCATTCTGCCTTGGAATGCAAGCTGCCTCGCAGGCAGCTGTCATTTTTTACCGAGCTCTGTGCACCTGCTGTGCTGAAGAGCAGGTGTGTACCTCAGAATTGTATAGAAAGATGATAAGTTTTGTTCCCTTTACTCTGGGCACAGATGCAAACCCAGAATCACAGGGCGGCAGTGCGACCGATGTGCCTCCGGGTTTCACCGCTTCCCTGAGTGTGTGCCCTGCCATTGCAACAGAGATGGGGCTGAGCCAGGAGTGTGTGACCCAAGGACGGGGGCTTGCCTCTGCAAGGTGAGATGGGTGGTACCATGCCAGGGCCGCCAGCCTCCGGTCAGGGAGGAAATGCTTTGTGTGGAGTTAACTTAGAAAAGTACACAGAATATGGGACTGACCGCAATAGGGTTCATAAGGTGTCTAGCATTTTGTATCTTTACTTCATTTCATAGAAATAGTCAGAGATAGAAGAACCTCTTTCACCCTTGGAGAGGCCAGGAAAAATCTGATGACAGGTATAGACCGTCACCAGAACAATCAACACACATTTTTATCTACAATTTCATGAGGTTCATAGGTTTCCATATAGCCTATTTCTGGACCATGGACCCCAGGTTATCATCTCTGCTCCACGGGGTCCTGCCAGGTTGTAGGAGACCCCTGAATTCCCCACAGATGTCTTGAGTGGCGGGAGTGGGATGGACCAGTCTCTTCCTACTGTGACTCCTCCTGGCACTGTTTCTCTACCTGCAAGGTGCCGAGGGCTATCTTATGAAATTGAGGGAATGCCTGCTCCCATTTGTGTGGGGTATAAAATTGTAAACAATTAACGTGGTATGAAAGCCTAACAATTACATATCCTTTGATGTTTTGTTAACATCCATGTCCTAACATCTCAGGCTGGTGTTTAATTTGTGTAAGTGGCTAATTGCGCTCAGAGAAGCTCTGGAGGGATGAGCTCTTCCTTCATGTTTTGCTCCAACAGGAAAATGTGGAAGGCTCCGAATGTCACGTGTGTCGAGAAGGATCCTTCCACTTGGACCCAGCCAATCCCAAGGGCTGTACCAGCTGCTTTTGTTTTGGAGTCAGTAATCGTTGTCACAGCTCACACAAGCGAAGAGCTAAGGTGGGAACAGACCCAAAGCGCCCTGGGACTTTGTAGATGGATTTGTTAAAACAGTTGCCTTGGCTGTTCCTTGGCCTGCAGTGTTTTTTATTCTTGTTCCCTGAATTTGTAGGGTGTCTGCTCAAATGTCACCTGCTCAGAGGGGCTTTCCCTTACTCCTTACAAAATAGCATTCCCTGGTCACCCTCTCTGACCGTACTCTGTGTTCTCCACAGCATTAATCACTCCCTGACATATGGGGTGTCCATAAAGTTTGTGTGCAATTTAAAATAGTTGTCTCTTTTAAATTTTACATTTTATTTTAATATTTAATATCCATCTTCCTCCACCACTAGAATGTAAGCTCCTTAAAAACAGGATCTGGAATATAAGAGGTGCTCTATAAATACTCATTGAGTGAGTAGAGTTTGTTGTTTTCTTCCTTCAAAGAAAACCCTGTTTCTGTACTCACAGCACACTGACACCAAATATGTGGGGGATTTGCTTCACACCAAGGATTCTCCAATCCTCTCCAGACACCTACTGGGTGTCCCACAATTCAACTCAATCCTGACGCTCTCTACCTGGAGGTAGCATCAGACCTCACAGGTTGAAGGCTCAGTCCTGCAAGACTGCCCCCCTTTTCAGATGCCCATTGCAAGTTCTAGGCCTCCAGTACTTCCTATAGATCTGGCTGTAGGGGATCCCACCACCCCCTCCTCATGCTTTGATAATTTCCTATAACACCTCACAGAACTCAGAGAAACACCTTACTTACTATTGCTTGTTTATTACAAAGGACATGACAAAGCAGGTGTGTGGGGTGGGTTCCAACAGTGTCCCAAGCACAGGACTTGGGGTGTGTCACCCTCCCAGCACTCACATGTGTTCACCAACACAGGGGACCTTTGAAACCAAAATTTAGGGCTTGTATGGGCATTTCAGTATGCAGGCACGATTGATTAAATCATTAGCCATTGGTCAGGGGTGGGGCTAAAAGTCCCAACCCTCTAATCATGCCTTGATCTTTCTGGCAGCCAGTCCCATCCTGAAGCTACTGAGGGACCCCAACCACAGTCATCTCATTAGCAAAAAGACTCTTGCCACAGCAGAGATCCCAAGGGTCTCAGAAGCTCTACTGTGAGGAACTGGGGACTGAGACCAAATGTGTGTCCTATGACAAAAGATGCTCCTGTCACCCTGATCATTTGAGAGAGAGCTTCAGGAGCTCTTTCTTCACCAAGACCTATGGATAAACCCAACTGTTAAATAGATACCCCTTACTATTGCACAACAGCACACCCCTCACTTCTCTTTTCTTCTTCTCTTCTTCCTATTTTACTTTTCTTTTCTTTTTTTTATTAAATCATATATGAATGCAGTCATGGCCCATTTTACTTTTATTTTCACTTATCTGCCATATCTTTGGCCACTGTTAAAGTTAATTCATGAAACTAAAACATTTGCTGTCTTCCTCATTCCATGAGCCAGTAGTCCTGCGCTTGCTCTCTCTGTGTGACGTCTTAGATCCAATAAGTATTGAAAGAAACTATTTTCTGTATTCCACTCCCTCCTCCTGAAAGGAATTCAGCCTTCTAATTGGACAAAAAAAAAATTAGTTTGTAAATCTGCTCTAAAGTCCCCTTTCCTTACCTCCCTCGCATCCCTGGGAACTGGAAAACATTAATTCTAACCTATGCCTAATGAGTTCTTCCTTTTTCTTACCTTAAAGCTAACTGGTTTCCTTTGTGACCAGGGAAAGATTTAATTTTGATGCTCCATTTAGAGAAAAATAATGTTGGCAGGCCACTGTATTCCACATCACATTTTTCTCTGTAAGGTGCTCACTATTAAAAGATGCCCATAGTCCTAGTTATTATTCAAACAGCCATTTAGTGATTATTGAAATACTCACTGAACACCTGCTAATTGTTCACTAGCAGGATGTGTGTTAGGATACAAAGATAATCCGACATGTGTATGGCCACTGCCCTCCAAGAACTCCCCGTGACAGGGGTCAGATGGGGGCTCTGTCATGGGGGCCTGAGGGGTGAGCTCAATAGGAGACACATCTAGGGGGTCCTTGAAGCCGGTGACAGCTGCATGAATGTTTCTGTTGACTAGTGCAGGGTCACCAAGGAAGCCACACCCACACATTTCTGTCCGTTGCTTTCGTGTTCTAGTTCGTGGATATGAGGGGCTGGCGCCTGGAGACTGCGGACGGAGTGGACATCGCTGTCTCCTTCAACCCAGGCAGCAACAGTGTGGTGGCGGATCTCCAGGAGCTGCCCGCGACAGTCCGCAGTGCGTCCTGGGTTGCACCCCCTTCCTACCTGGGGGACAAGGTAATGATGTCCCGTCGCTCCTCTGAGCCCTCTGTGGGCCTCTTGTATCACTTGAGCATAAGCCTCAGGTCAGTTTACTACCATTTTAGGAGTTAGGTAAAGTGATTAAAAACTGAGACCTTGCTGTGAGGGGCTGAGCAAGAGCCTCCCCTCCCGTGCCCCCAGGTGTGAGCCCCCAGCAAAAGAAATATGCACAATGGTTTTTTTCCATTTTTACTTAATGCCAAAGAAGTTTCCTAAGTTCCATTACATGCTATCTGTTGCAAATGGGACACGTCTCTGACTCCGTCTTCTGGGTAGGAGACTGTGGGTCTTGCTGGGTGGGCGTGGGGGGCATTGATTCCTGCTTATGATCTAGCTCTCCCTGACTTCATACTCCCCTTCATCTCTACATGGCTAGCCTGTGTGCTGATAGGTTATCTGTACCATGTAACAAACTGCACCAACACTTTGCAACCTAAAGGAACAGTTACCATCTTGACATTCCTATGGATTGGCGATTTAGGAGAAGATGGCCCAGAGTCCCCTGGTTGCTGTTGGTCAGGGCCATGGTCATCTGGGCCTGGAGGATAGCTTCCAAGTTCACTCACACGGTTATTACCAGGCCTCTGCTCCATGCTGGCTGGTGCTGGAGGCATCCGTTCCCCATCACAATGAGACCCTACTTAGACTACCTGAGGGTTGTCATGACAGGGCAGCTGGCTTCCATCAAAACAAATGATGGATGTAAATATCTTAACACAATAATCAAGTAAATGAGGCGAAAGCTATGTTGATCGGTTTGATGTAACCACGTCAGATTGTATAAAAAAACCAACACATTTTACCCCATATATGCATAAATGTATTCATGATCTATAAATAAATAAATAAAAACAAATGATGGGCAGGGTGGAGAAAGACAGTAGATTAACTCAAGATGCAGCCGCAATCTTTTTATAACCTAATCTCAGAACTAGCACACGCTCGCTCCCTCGTTCTGTTCATTAGAAGTGAGTCACTAAATGCAGCCCGCACTCAAGGGGAGGGGAGTTGGGCTCCACTTTTTGAAGGTAAGAATACAAAGAATTTGTGGGCATAATTTTAAATGAACCTTACTCCATCAGAAAGGCAGTACTTAACCTGAATAAGGCTATAAGTACTTAACCTGGTGGAGTAGAAACACATTCTTCTCAGTAAAGTATCACAAGAATGGAAAAGCAAATATCCAATGTACTCAATCCTAACACGAAGCCAGTAGGTGATCTAATACATGCCCACATAAGAGAAAAACTCAATTCAATCAAGTTGTGGGGAGGGGGAAGCAGGAAGAAGGTTGGGGTGCTCCTACTGGCCTCAATGTAGGGGTATATGGCACACCTTCTGGGTGCAGAATGTAATTACAAGAGGAACTCTACCTAACAAATTTCAAATATTGTGACCTGGTTGTTTGTACCCTCACATTAACCTGGGAAAAAAAAAAAAAAGATGTTATCCTGGAATACGTCCAGACTTGAAGTTCATGGCCCTAGGAGGCTTTGCCAGGTTACAGACGCCGGGGAAAAGCGTCTGCTGATGGGGAGCCCAGAAGATCAGCTTTTTCCTCCTTCTCAAGTGTTGGCATTTTCTGTAGGGTATTTTGTTCTGTCTGATTGGAGGTGAGTTTACCTCTGATTTCCATCCTTTGGTCCTTCCTTCCTTCTTAATTGTTCTTTACTTAATTAAGGGTGGGAGGTGTCAGGGCCAGAGGTGGAGCAGCTCTCAGAAAACCACAGCCATTCAGCTCTGTGGGACCTTACTGCTTCTGCCGCAATGAGAAGAGGTCCAAACACCACTGGAGTAGTCAGTCATGGCTTCCGAACTCAGCGGAATTCACAAGAACTTGGGAAATAGTCACCATCTGCTTTCAGGGGAATTTTTTGGGGGGATGAGGCATTTATTTTTAGAGGTTCATTTTGTGACTGATAGATATCGCCCACTTCTCTCAGTTAAAAGAGAAATAAATGGCCTAGATATTCTAGAACATCTGTGAGTTAAATAAACATTCTAGCTTAGTAATCATCTAGGGGGAAAAAGGATCTTATTTGTTGCAGTATGAATATTATTTTTCTTTTTAATAGAAGTATTGTCTTCCTTGTAACAATCATGTTCATGTTAAACATTTTCAATGATAAAAAGTCTCCTAAAGCAGAAAGTTGAAATCATCATCCTCAATCCCAGTCTCTAGATAGAACCCTTGCTGGCGGGTGACTGGGTACCTTTCCAGACTCTATGTGCCTCTGCTTGTTTTCTGCAGGTCCTTCTTTAATTCGTGTGCTATTGATGCCGTTGTGTCCATTTTAGGTTTCCTCGTACGGTGGCTACCTCACTTACCAGGTCAAGTCCTTCGGCTTACCCAGTGACATGGCTCTCCTGGAGAAGAAGCCGGATGTGCAGCTCACTGTAGGTGTCAGGACACAACCCGCGGGGCAGGAGGTGACAGTTTCAGTTGGTGCTGACTTAAAGACTTCTTCATATGTGGCCTATAAGACATTTGGATTAAGTCACTTCTAATAATTTGTAGAAACTAAAAGAAAGTGTAGAGCAGGGGTGTCTGACCTTTTTTTTTTCCTGCCATACATTGGAAGAAGAGTTGTCTTGGGCCACACATTACACAAACACTAGGAAAAGCTGATCAGAAAAAAAAAAAGTTCATGCATATTTTTCCTGATATTTGACACCACAGATAAGCAAATTTCTCACAAAATCAGTAGGTCTGCCCCCTTCTCTCCCCCGCCCCCCCACCCCCCGCAGATGGGACACCCATGGAAGCATGTAGAATCCTCAGGATTCTGCTTCCTCTGACCAAAAGGTTTCTCTCTTCTCCTCTCCCAAAGTACTTAACTGTATTTTCCCTTGCCTCTCACAAGTTACTGGCTCCTGTTAAACTTTTTTCCTGTTTCTAGCATATCAATTTGGTTTCATAAATGTTTTTGAGCCCTGCCCGTGTGCAAGACCATATTGCTGAGCTCTGCAAAGGATGGGTGCCCCCTTTCCTCAAAATGGAGATAGGATTAGAGTAATATGCTAGTAACTCCAATCCACCCAGCAGTGTTTGAGGACAGTCCAAGCAAAGCTCTAGGGCAACTGGGGTCTGAGTAAAGGGGCTGGGAGTTGTGTGGTCTGAGACATACTCAGAAGGTTTCATGGTTCATTTTGAGCCAGGCCTTTAACAATGGGCATAAGAAGAGAACTGCCCCTCTAGGGGCAGGGACTAAGGTAAACTGAGGCAGGAAGCAGTGCAAGGCAGGAGTCTGTGCTCAAGGGATGATCAGCTGGTCATATTATCAGTGTGTGCTGAGTCCTGCACACAAGCCTGGAAGGGTTTGATGCTGTGAAAGAAATCTAAATTGATATGGTTGGGGGGTCTTTGGTGCTTTGAGAAGTAACAACCTCCACATGCTGTGTGCCTGGCACACAATCCAGAGTTGGCATCTAAAACATTCCTTGAGGGCAGGAGTGATGTCACATCCTACTTGGAATTCCCCACAATGCAGGCCACAGTACCTTGAACATAGGTTAGGGTGCCATTGAATGAAGTTGGCTTTATTTCTGGGGTCTGCTCTGTGATTAATGCAAGGGAATTACAGTTTCTCAGAGAGATTTCTCGGGCCGAGCACTATAAACAGGCACCAACAAATCTGATATACCTCATCACAGCCAAGGGCCTCACATTCTTGGTTCAGGGGCTGCCATACTGTGTTTTGTTTTCACCGGTATATAAAATTCTACCGAATTGTTGGCCAGGCACCGTGGCTCATGCCCGGAATCCCAGCACTCTGGGAGGCCGAGGCAGGTGGATTGCTTGACCTCAGGAGTTCAAGACCAGCTTGAGCAAGAGTGAGACCCCGTCTCTACTAAAAATAGAAAAATTATCTGGGCATTGTGGCAGGTAAATGTAGTCTGAGCTACTGAGAAGCTTGAGGCAAGGGGATCTCTTGAGCCCAAGAGTTTGAGGTTGCTGTGAGCTATGATGGCAGCACTCTACCAAAGGTGATAGAATGAGACTCTTTCTCCAAAAAAAAAAAAAAGGTGGAACAACCAAACAAAAATCTATTGAATTGTTGTTTAGGAATCTCCAAGGAACCCTTGCAGAATATGTTGAAAAAAAAAATAAAAGTAGCGATTTTAAAGTTATAGTTGAAGGAAAAATAGCTACACCGTAAGAATGCTGTCACAGCCTTGCTATTATTTCAGGCTCAGATTTTTGCAGAGCATCTCACAGTTCCGGCCATTAGCAGACCTATTTTTCAGCGCCAAAGAGTTTATTATGCAAACTATTATAGTTCACTGAGAGGTAATGACCAAAATTTCTTCTTAATTTTCCCTTCAAACACAGAAAATAATTTAGGCTCATGAATCATTTACTCTGGCTCTTTGTTCCAGACAGGCTGTAATTAAGAGCCCCTGGGGCATGTTTCTTAGATTAAGGTTTCAATGATATGTGATTCCAGCTGATGCTCTGGAGTACCAGCCTTAGTGAGTGGAACTCTGTGGGGTTTGGTTCTATAGCAGAAAGGCTGGAGTGTGTGTGTTTTCAGTGGGACTGCCAATGGCAGGTATTCCCTGTCCCATCCTACCTTCCTGAGAGTTGCTCCAGAGCCATTGAGACAGGTAGGGTGGAGGCCCAGAGTGAGTGAGGCTGGGTCCTGCAGGGGGAGGCTGCAGGTGAATACCGCCCGGCACCTGCCAGCTCTGCCCCTCCCTGGCACAGTCCCCCTTCCCTCCCCACCTCCTTAGTAATCCACCCACCAAAGTACTTGCTTCCTATCACAATCTGAAAGCAGCACTTTCTGCATTTACCACAAAGCCTGGTCTTTAAAAAAAAAAAAAAAAAAATCCCATCTTTTTTTAGTCCAGGGAATTTTCCTGATTTCCTGTTTGTGAAAAGGTACTGTGTTCACGGTTATTATTCTGTCTCCATGTCATTAATCCTTTCACCAGTCAGTTAATTCTGAGCTATTTGTTAAGAGTCAGGCATTTCATAGAATAGGGATCCGGGGAAGTTTTTTTCTTAGATCAATTATAAATCTCGAAAACATCCCAAGCGAGGCAGTGACACACTCCCGGTTTTCTCTCCACAGGGCCAGCACATGTCTGTCATCTATGAAGAGCCCAATGGCCCACGGCCAGACCGGCTCCATCACGGGCGCGTGCAGGTGGTTGAGGTAAAGGAAAGTTCCTGACGGCCCTTTCTGCTTTTTGCCTTAACTGTTTCAGAAAATCCTAATTTTGTTATAAGATTTTAAAAACATAAATTATATTTATATAAAAGTAAATGTATATATGCTGGTTAAGCATCCCTGATCCCCAAACCTGAAATCCAAAATGCTCCAAAATCCAAAACTATTTGATTGCCAACATGACATTAAAAGGGAAATGCTCACCAGAACATTTCAGACTTGGGGTTTTCTGATTAGGGATGTTCCATCTATAAGTAAAATGCAAAATATTCCACAATCTTAAAAAAATCTGAAACCTGAAACACTTCTGGTCCAAACCATTTCAGACAAGAGACGCTTAATCTGTATAGATTTAAAATACAAATGATGTAAAATATAAAATGATTGGTGCTCCGGAGGCTTTATACTATCTTTCCCGTACTTTAGCATGAGCTCGCCTGTTTCACAATTAATTATCCTTGTCTTATAAATTCCATAAGCTAGAAAATGGTACCGCATAATTTCCTCTCATTCTCAGGTCTCCTCCGTACCAAGACCTATTTAGTGTCTAAAAAATGCTTGGGATGGGTGGACAGCAAAACCACAAAAATATCTTACAAGAAAGTAGTATAGCTAAATATAGGAAAGCTCATCAGATCATAAAACATTTTATTACACCTATTTGGTTACAACTATTCCTTAAAAATAGTGTTCCATTTATATTATCCAGTGTGTCCCATACCTAAAGTTGAAACTTTTTGAGTACCTCGAACTTGCAGACATATTTTAACATTTCTGTATACCTGTGCAGTGGAATGTTCCTTGGCAATAAAATAAACAAAGTATTGATGCCTACTACAACATGGACGGATCTCAGGAACATGATACTACATAAAAGAGGCAAGACACAAAAGACCACATGGTTCTATTAGGTGAAAAAGTTCATGACAGCTAAAATGGTGAAGGAAGAACCCCCAGAAATTCACTCGTCCCTATAAGCAATGAGAAAATTGGTACCAAAAAAAGAAAAATAGTTAGCGTCAACTTTTTCAGAACTGTGGAAATTAATCAAAACCTTGCAGCCATTTAGAAAGTATTTATTATAGGAAAAAAATGACTGAATTGCTGTAAGAACAGTGAGCTTTTTGGCATTCAACTTGCCTCTCCCCGGCTTCACAGGAGTCTTGCAAACCAGCAGCTCCAAATCATGGTGAACTCTAGCAGCCTGGCAGCCGCTAGAGAAAGCAAAGTGAGACTGGAGTTCCTTCAAAGCCTCCTTTCCCAGACAACTATCATAATTTGACAATCTGGAGGTTTTTCAGAAGATCCCAATTGCAAGTTTATCTTTATTTGACCTGACTGGAGTTTTTCCCCTGGGACTGTTGTGGAAAAATTGAAATTATTTAACATCATTGCTGCCTGAGGTAGTTGGAGCAAACAATAAGATATCACAGAGCTGAAAAAGCTGGGGATTGAGATGTTCACAGGTGCTTTGAAAGGCTCAGCCATGGTCCTGGGAATGTAGCAGGCTGTGCACAGATGAGGAATGTGCAAATATCAGGATTGGTATATACCAGGGCATGTGTGCACTCTGAGGAAAGACCCGAGAAGGCTCTAATCTCTCCCCTATGGCTGATGTGGAGACTATACAAGCAGGAAGTGAGGGCTAAGGTAGAGTTATCAACTCGCTGCCTGAGAGTTGAATTTTGAAAATACAAGGAGACTTTTTGTTTCTAGGCATTTAAGGAAATTTTGTCCAATCCTTGGCTGATCACTAAGCTAACAAAGCAGGGATGTTAGTGGACACATGACAAATAATACAGACTTTTGAGAATTAGTTC